AACCTGTGCGCTAAATCGTAGGAAGGTTGGATGGAAGCATCAGTTGACTACGGGTGAGTGAAAACAAATTTGACTGAAGGCACGGCGTTTGTAACCCTGATCGCGTAAGAGTTTAGATCCATATTCAGCGAAGAAGTTGAAGTGTTTTGGGAGTCGGATTATCGTTCCATAAACGAATTGTACTGCAGTGTATATAACGTCAGCTTTCACTGCACTACGAAGACTATGTAAAACGTGTGCAAGAGCGTCATTCCGCATTGTAACGTCCTCAGTTGAAAGTGAAGCTTTCAAATATCGGTGAAGGGTACTGCTTCTGGCCACTGTGTGCAACAGTTTACACACGTTAAGAAACAGTAGTGTCCATTTGAATCTGGTAAGGGTCCCTCTAAATCCAGATAAACATGTTTGAAACGAGCATAGGGAGTTGTAAAAGGAGATAAGTGAAATTTGTTTTGTCTGACCACCTCAGACATCTGGCAGTTTACACAGGGTCAGGCTCGCTACCCTCCATTTTTATTCATACCGAGCCATTAAAATCGCTCTGTGGTGTGCTTGATGGTTGCGTGGGCACCTGGTTGAGAAAATTTGCACGGCATATTAAAAACGTTGTGTCGATAATGTTTCGGCACGATTTAACGATCCCTACCTGTAGATATGTCGCATAATAAGTTTTCTTTACCTGTTCCCGTCTGTTTATCACGCAGTTTTAGGGTTATCAAAGATAACCCGTATTGCAGCTCAGTGTCTTTGAAGAGCTGGAAGAGTTTGCAGTTGTCGATTTCCTGGAAACTGCCCAAAGAATTTATACGAGACAAGGCATGTGCCAGTAAATTGCGTGCCTCAAAAATGTGCTGTATGTCCGAGGTAAACTGTGAAGTGTAGTCCGATTATCGAGATTTTTTAGGGGAGTACTTGACAGAAGAGCATAAAGAGAAGGTGACGGATTTGTGGTCGGTAAGCAGAATGAATTCTTGGCCTTCCATAGTGTTGAATATGCCAACACTTGGAAAGGAATTCTCTGCTTAATATGATATTGAAGACATATGCCAAAATTTGCCAGCCGTTATTTACCCACCGTTGCTGGACTCCAACTGCCGAGTCGAATGTGTCTAATGCGATACTAATAGGTGCTTTGGTGCCCTGGTGAGCCAGCAGAATGTCTGCCACCTTGCCTTAGAGAGGGCGGATGCCTTGAGCATCAATATTGTAGACGACAAAATTTAGGGAGTCGGTTCCGATTTGACATTGCTCAATGCCCGAAGTTTTGCTGTGTTCCTGCAGTCGTTCGAAAGCAAGGTCCAGATATTGGACATTGGTGTCTTTGCTCAGACCTGTAATCAACGCGTACACGAAGTTGAGACCTCGCAAGACGTCATTGATGAATCTGTGGAACGCTCGTGCGGTATTTCTAAAGCCAAAAGATATGCGCAAAAACCGGAAGGAGTGACGATAGCAGTTTTAGAAATTTCGCCATCACCTATGGGAATTTGTCCGTACGCTTTAACCACGTCGATTCTCGGATCAAACAGTTGTACCTTTCAACGTAGCTGTTAAGTTGTGAATGTGAGGCAACGGTTAACGATAGGGAGTAATTTTGGTATTCACTCACCGCCTTCAGAAATGAAGGTAGTCCTGTTGTAGTGGACGAAAATATAAAAATGTGGATAATAGTAAAAAACTGATCGCGAAATAAGTCTATTTTAACTATCTACACACTGTAGTCGTGAGGTGATATACAACATTGCTTGTAAGTTGTGATCGATAAACGAACTCACCAATGATAAAGTGAAACGCTCACCACCACATTAACTTTTTTTGACCCTGTGTGACTATGTCTTGTTTATTCACCAATCACAATTTTATGTTGATTATAAAACACTATTTGCCTTGTTAACTCATTTTTTCCTTTACTCTAGCTACTGTTCGAAACGGATAAAGCTTATCAAACCAAATAGCTTGCTTGTTCTGACTTTGGCTAAACCACGACTCTGTGTTCGACGGTCTGGAGAATAGCTTAGGGTTACACTTGTAGGAAATTGCTTCCTACAACGTTTCGAACAGTACCTCATCAAAAATTTATACATTGAGTACCTTTAAATGTCTACGGAGTATCATAAAACTGATAATATCCCTGAATTGTCTCCCTACTATTCTATGTAAGCTGTTGCTTTTCGCACCGAACATTTCACTTTCTTCTTAGCCCATACACGACAACTTAAACGCGAAAGAAAAGGCGTATAATACGGAAAGAACGTCTTACTCCTAGATTAGTTCATGTACAGAAAATCGATGGTATTTATAGCATTCCAGATGGCACTAGGCCTCTGGAGTCTTCTGGAACCCTACCAAACATAGTAGCACGATAGGCTATCATGCAGTCGGAAACATGACACGCCAATCTCCACTTTCTAAATGTTTCTGATAAACCTCCACTCAATGCTGATTAGATAAAGTGTTTTCCAAAGCTTTTGGGGCCTCTTTGGGCTTTTTTCGAAGAATACTCTCTGTCTCGACAACATAGTGCCTGTTGGTGACCTAAAAAAGGTACATCTAGTTCTCAACCCCGGTATAAAAATGTCGAGGTCCTTGGCTCCACAAAAGTCGCTGCGATATATCAGTATCTTTACTGTGGTCACGAAACTGTGAGTGGAAGCCATCTATACAGAAGTATATGTCCTGTTCAGGTTCGCACTATAGTCGCAACACATTTTGATACAATTGAGGTGAGAATTTCTCTTCAGTCTTCAAAGTAGGAGAGATGGAAGACCCAGTCTGCTACAGAACTGTCACATCACTCGCAACACTGTCAAGGTCAGTGGAATGAGAGGAAAACCGTCAAACGAGAGAAAACATTGACGAAACCAACCCTCTTCATGAAGGCCAAAACGAGTCTAGAATGGAGTCATTTAAGTTCCATCTCCCCATATGATGAGGCAGCTGGAAAAGCTTCTGAGAACAAAAGATGCTGTTGCACTTAGTATTCCCGTAATTCATAGGCTAGTTGCACTGATCTTTTGGGACAACACGATAATCTGGAAGTCCGTATGAAGTGAAACGAGTTCACTGAAGCTTCGAAATTATAGCACGGGACTAAATATGTGGGCAACGGACAATTTAACTCGTCGAAACATCATGCTATGAAGATTTGGAGCCACGACTAATAAACAACTCCATAATAATTCACTTCCCCGCAAACTGAGATATAGGACAATTAATCCTAGAGAACGCAGATTCCAGCTGAAACAACACTGAAGATGCAATCAAGGCAACTGCAAATCATCACTTTATCCAGAACAAATAGTTGAATTCAAATCAGTTTTGCTTATAACACTCTTCATAACGTTACCATAGATGCATCTCGAAGTCTACAATGTTGTTGCGTCTCATCCATTTTAAGGAAATAGAATCCTGTTTGACCAAGTTCAAAGACAAGAGGCTAAATGGACGATGAAGCTGTGAAACAAATTTTATAAAGATAGACTCCGACACTGATGACTATTTCTTCTGTGCTACAGAGACGAAGGACTGACCTGAAAATGGGACACGACATACTCAGTACTCTGAGTCACCTCAACACGGGAATCCCACAGGGACATCGTCTTCATTCACAATGAGAAAACTCTTGAAAACCTCTACGTCAAAAGATGTAAACCCGTAAGCCCTCTCAATTTTTCATACGCCTGGACTAGCTGTACCTGACGCATATTACGTAAATTACCTATTATTATCATTGCGGCATATCATTAACTTGTTCTCATCTCGCCTATCATTATTCCCGTTTCCCTTCTCAGTCTTACACTTCGATCTTCTCACACTGCCTGCATTATTATGTTCGCCATTCGTATATTCGATTACTGAGAACAAGTGGATTTAGTGATGGTTAAAATACCGATATCTTCGAACATGTTTTTCAGTAATTAGTTTCACCAGTAATATACATTTAAAGTGCAAGTGGTTTGAATTGACACACGTAGACTGGAATAGTTGTTTTACTGGATTTACACAAGAATCAGGCATTCTTGTGATTGGATTGTATTAAGAGTGATACTAACACACAGGCGCGTGCACTTAAATAAAAGTAACACTTGTAGTAAAATAATCAGCAGCTGCATAATAATGAGATAAACCAAAGATTTCGCATGAATGGTCTAATCTACATTGTTTTGATTGACATAAACACAAACTGTCCTGAATATTGGCTAACGAGAGTGTTCTTAATGTTTATAGATCAATATATTAATTGAACCTGACTTGCAAACAGATAGCTGGACGGGGAACCAGACAAAGGATTTTCTGGAAGATTCACACACAAGGCATGTGAATTGACCACACATTTGAGTACATTTTGACCGAGAGAACTGAATTGATGCGCTTGAGAGTTATATGGTCAGTCAAGTACTGTATTCCAGGATGCGTATAAAATCACGTCTATATGACATGTCTATATTATTTATTTTCTTTCTCAGTTATTGTAGCAATCGTCTTCTTTTAGCAGACCAATATTGTTTTAATTATCTTACATATTGGGGAACAACCAACCAACCTATTATCCGGTTGTGTAATAAGTACTTGTTTCGGAAATCATAAAGCCCTCATAAGGACATATTCACTGAGATTAGAAAATATACCAACCCACATATAACTGCTAAACTAAGTAGAATCAGCACGGTCGGGTTGACAAATTATCGCCTATTTGAGATTATCACTGACCTCCAATCATCCTGAAACAGCATGAAGTGAAAGAATGGTAGTAATCCGTTTATATGATCCTGTTCCAGAAGAATTAGACATTGTAGGTGTTTTGAAATATTGCATTTTTTCAAGGAGTTCTGAGACTTTCAGACGCCAGTTTATTGCATTCGTATGAGAACACTAGAAAGACGTGCTGATGAAAATGCAAGTGACGAAACTTTTTATCTTCGAATACATAAATACAGTAGGTAATCGTCCATTACTATCTTATGATTTCTGGATTGTCGGCCGTGAATTCAACTTTTCAAGGTTATTGAAGAGGAAGAGGGGGATTTGAGCCTCGTCAGCAACACGGTAAGGAAGACAGGCCTTTGATTCGAAATTATTGACTGATTGGTTTGATCAACACATTTATTAAGCCATTGGCAGCTAGTTGGAAGCTAATTATGTTGGTAATCTATACATATCTCATTGGAGTGTTTACTCCATTGGAAATTACAGACAACTGATCGAGTTTCTCCAGTCGTTGACGTAATACATATTTCTTTCTTTCATGTAAACCACTTTTTATTTGTCGCAAAATTGTGTAAAATCCTGACAAAACGTGTTTGAAAATACTGGGAGTTAGTCGCATGATTATCACAATATTTGCTTTGCAAAGTAGATCTGCATCTTCACATAAGCAACAATGTCTCAAATATAGTGATGTGTGGGATAGTATTAGATGGGCAATGGGAATTCTTCTACTAAGTTTTCGGTTAGTCAGTTAACTACTTCGTTGCAAAGTGCCTTCCTCGATCTACTTTTTTGGCAAGACTATGATTTATATGGACAAACCAGTGAGATTAAGGATGGCAAATCGAATTTTAACGCGAATTTCATTGATACATATGGTGGGTTGAACCATCTGCTTCTAGTCCGATTCCAAGATTGTTTTAGCTTAAGGACTGTTATTTCTGATTGTTGTTGATTGGTTTCGTTATTAAGTTTAAGTGCATTTTCTGTTCTTCCTGTCTCGTCGACTAACCTTTTGCTTTCTTTTCCCTAGCCTTTACGCACTCATAATGCTCCCTTAGTACGCAGAATACTTGGCCGGACTCTAACCCCTACAATATAGCTGTCAGTTCGTGATGAAAACTTTTGATTCTTAACCATAAATTTTAACTCGATACCAAGTCCTCATATTAGATTACAACCCTCTTTTGACCTTGATAAATAGGTGAGTCGTCAGAAGGCTACTTTAGCGTTGTTTAAAAGTCGCCCTTAAATTACGGTGTCACGGTTTTTTTGCATTTAGTATATGCTTCTTTTGGATGAATATAGAATGACTATTTATTTATTTGAACACATGAGTATTGGTTCAAGAGAGCGCCAATATATATGCGCCACACAAAACAATCAGAATTCGAAGAGAAAAAAGGAAAAACAGGTAAGAAGCGTAGAAAGAGAACAATTACGAAGAGATTGGTGTAAGGTAGTGTGGTAGTAATGAGGGAACGGAAAGGTACAATCGGAGGAAATCTTTCAGGTAAGGGAGACACAACCACTTTTTATGAAGAAAGTAAAAGAAGGTTACAGAAGGATCGCCATTGGCTTCTATTCTGAGCCATATCTGATAACGTCTCTAGCCACTATGTAGCACCATCTATCGGACCTCAACCAGGGAGTCGTGAAGGAAGCCAGTTCCTTGCAGCTTTCTTTCATGCCACGACACCATGTCATGCACTGACCACCTCTCCGCTTCTTCCAACCAGTCCCAGAGTAGGTAAACAATGCACGACGTGGAATTCTCTGGGACGACGTTCGGAGAACACGTCCAAGCCACCGAAGTCGATGTCTCAAGATGGTGACACCAATTGAATTATCATCTCTGTGCCCGAACACACGATGCCGAACCTCTGCATTACTGACATGGTGTTGCCACTGAATGTCAGCAATCCTTCGGAGACAGCGATGATCGAACACAGAGAGTCGTCTAACGTCCACAACTCGGAGAGGTCAGGTTTCACAAACATAGAGCAAAACTTCTCTCACCGATGCTTTGTAGATCTGGCCTTTTACAGCCAGACTAACATCACGAAGGCGCCAAAGATGGCCCAGATTAGCATAAGCCGCTCTGGCTTTTACTATACGTGCATTGATCTCATCACTCAGGCCACCACCAGCACTTATGCAGCTACCCAGATACACGAACTTCTCGACTACTTCTATCTGCTCACCATCCAGGGTGAGTACAGGATTGGAATCCTGCCAGTCTTGTAGAAGTACTTTGCACTTGGAAGGTGCAAAGCACATACCATACCTACGGACACTGATTGCCAACTGATTAAGTGCGGATTGCATGCCTTGGGCATTATCGCACAATAAGACAATATCGTCCGCATACTCAAGGTCGAGAAGTCTTTCTCTAAGCAACAGATCCATACCACCATTACTTACATTCATCAGAGCTGTTTCCAGAATGTCATCGATGGCAAAGTTGAAGAGGAATGGTGAGATTGGGCAAGCCTGCCTAACCCCACTGCTCGAATAGAACAATGGAGGAAGGTGGTTGTATGCCCTCACTCTGCCTGAGGTGTTTGTATATAGGGCTTTTAGGATGTTAATAAACTTATCAGACACACCCTTCTTCAATAGACAATCCCAGAGAACAGTCCTGTCCAACGAATTGAAGGCAGCCCTGATGTCAAGAAACACTACGACTGTTGGCCTTTGATAAGTATGGCGATGTTCTAACATTTGGCGGAGGGTGAAGATATGATCAACACATCCTCGACCAGAACGAAACCCAGCCTGCTCCTCGCGAGTCAATCGTTCTCGGGTTTTGAACAACCTACGAAGTATGACGGAAGCCAATAGCTTGGACGTAATCGGAAGTAGACTTATCCCCCGATATGTTTATTTGCCATATTGCCTATCTCGTAACAGTGGATACATATATGTTCATGTGTAGCTTTTTAAATCTAAGAAATATGGAGATTGTCGAATGGTGAGTGTCATTCAAATCGGAACCACAATATAATTCATAGACGCTTTTTGAAATTTTCTTTTCCAATCATTTTTGTTTACGAATTCTTAATTATTCGTACCGTATGCCTAATTTTCTGTATATGTTATAATATCGTTCTGTAGTTCCAGCTACTATCTCTAGTTGGTATGGCCGATTATTGGAAAAGTAACCCAAAGAAGTATTGCGAATTATGCAAGTGTTGGATGGCAGACAACAAAATTGTAAGATATTAATTCCTTTTTCATTATTATCCCACGTATACTTTGAACAGAGCATCCAAAATCATGAGAATGGTATGCGACATAAAGCTAGTGTAGCTAAAAAAGTTAATGAATTGACCCGTAGCAACAAGTGTGCTGAAATGGAAAGGAAGAATTTAGAGGCGTGTTTACAACAAATAAACGATGTAATTGTCTTAAATTCCAAGTTATCCTTTTAAATATCCAGAGTGCCCACTTAAGTATGATGAAAGATCTAGAAAGAGACCCATCATTGGCAAAACAGTATGGAGTCGTGTTAGCAAGTAACTGCTTGTTTTACGTTATATTTACAATTCGAAGAGTCACCATGTGAAGGAAAATTGAACGAAGAGTCTTCTAGTAAAACAGGGAAATCAGTTGCTGATAAATCTCGTCCTGATCCATCCAGTCGTGCAAATATTTGGAAGGAATCAATAACCCCAGATGGCAAACATTATTATTGGAATGTGGCTACTCGTGTTACTCAGTGGACACGGCCAGATGGCATTATAGAGCCGGACCAACGACCAGTGAAAGAAGAAAAAACCAGACTAAAAGAATTCGTCTTAAATCGTCTTGTGGAGTTAAGCGAACATGGATCCAAGGGAGCCAATGAGGCAGTACTACAAGTGTTTAATGTACCTACATCAGATATCGAGCCTATCATAGAAAAAATATCAGATGGCACATCCGATAAGAAGCCGAAAAGTGTGAATCTTCCAACACCTGTTCAATTCCAAGGTCCACAAATTGACTTACTTGGTCCGTGGGTTCCTTGTGATGATACGTAAGTAGTCTACAAACGTTTTTCAATTATAGAACCAGAAAAAAGTTTATATTTTTATTTCTGTTGAAATATAACTTAGATTTTACGGGATATACTAGAACCTGTTTACCTACTAAACTAGATACAATTATTTGAACGATAGGGATTCTACTGAGTTACCTAGAACGACTTTGTCTCAGTAGAATTCAAACTTCTCGATTAGTAGTCTAAGGTTGAAGGCATTAACCAATAAACATTATTTTGTCTTACATTATTGGATATGGTTGAGGAAAATAGGGGGAATGTAGATGACAAAAGCATTCAATCTTAGATATTTTATAAGTAATCAAGTAAGAAATGCTTGAGTAATTTGTTGACTTTCAATTAATAATGGCAAGTGATTTGATAAGAATCTAAATACTCACATAGTGTAAGTATCGAACTGCCACCTATAAAACATATTTTTAATTGAAGTAGTTGATTAAAATATGTCAAACTTGACCGGAGTCTAGAATACTTACTTACTTACGCCTGTTACTCCCAATGGAGCATAGGCCGCTGACCAGCATTCTCCAACCCACTCTATCCTGGGCCTTCTTTTCTAGTTCCATCCAATTCTTGTTCATTTTTCTCATGTCTATCTCCATTTCTCGGCGTAATGTGTTCTTTGGTCTTCCTCTTTTCCTTTGACCTTCAGGATTCCATGTGAGGGCTTGTCTTGTGACGCAGTTGGGTGCTTTCCTCAATGTGTGTCCTATCCACTTCCAGCGCTTCTTCCTGATTTCTTCCTCCACTGGGATCTGGTTTGTTCTCTCCCACAGTACGTTGTTGCTAATAGTGTCCGGCCAATGGATCTGAAGTATTTTGCGTAGACAATTGTTAATAAACACCTGTATTTTCTGGATGATGGCTTTTGTAGTTCTCCAGGTTTCTGCCCCATACAGTAGAACTGTCTTGACATTTGTATTGAAAATCCTGACCTTGGTGTTGGTTGACAGTTGCTTTGAGTTCCAGATGTTCCTCAGTTGTAAATATGCTGCTCTTGCTTTGCCGATCCGCGCCTTCACATCTGCATCAGATCCACCCTGTTCATCAATGATGCTGCCCAAATACGTAAAGGTTTTTACATCTTCCAAATCTTCTCCGTCAATTGTGATTGGATTGGTGCATTCTGTGTTGTATCGGAGAATCCTGCTTTTCCCTTTGTGTATATTGAGACCTATTGCTGCTGAGGCTGCTGCCACACTGTTTGTCTTCTCCTGCATCTGTTGTTGCGTTTGGGATAGAAGGGCCAGATCGTCTGCGAAGTCTAGATCATCCAACTGCATCTTAGATGTCCATTGTATCCCGCGCTTTCCTTCAGACGTTGACGTCTTCATGATCCAGTCGATCACCAGGAGAAAGAGAAAGGGTGAGAGTAAGCAACCTTGCCTAACACCGGTCTTCACTTCGAACGACTTTGTCAACTGTCCTCCATGCACGATTTTGCAGTGTAATCCATCATATGAGTTCTGTATGATATTGACTATCTTCTGAGGCACGCCGTAGTGTCGAAGAAGTTTCCATAGTGTTGTTCTGTCCACGCTATCAAATGCCTTTTCGTAGTCAATGAAGTTGATGTAGAGTGACGAATTCCATTCAATTGATTGTTCCACAATGATCCGTAGAGTTGCGATTTGGTCTGTACACGATCTATCCTTACGGAATCCTGCCTGTTGGTCACGAAGTTGGGCGTCTACGCAGTCCTTCATCCTGTTTAACAATACTCTGTTGAAGACTTTTCCCGGTATTGAGAGAAGAGTGATGCCCCTGTAGTTATCACACTTGCTGAGATCGCCTTTCTTCGGTATTTTGATCAGTAGTCCTTCTTTCCAGTCTGTTGGTACTTGTTCCTCATCCCAAATCTTATTGAAGAGAATGTGGAGTATCCTTGCAGTTGCCGCTACGTCTGCTTTTAGTGCCTCTGCTGGGATGTTGTCCGGTCCTGCTGCTTTGCCACTCTTGATTTGTCTGATGGCCATGCTGATTTCTTCAATTGTTGGTGGGTCAACATTGATTGGGAGGTCCGTGGGTGCTGCTTCGATGTTGGGTGGGTTCAGTGGAGCTGGTCGATTCAAGAGTTCTTTGAAGTGTTCTACCCACCTGTTTTGTTGCTCTTCAATGTTGGTGATTACCTTGCCTTCCTTGCTTTTCACTGGTCGTTCTGGTTTGCGGCGATTTCCAGAGAGTTTCTTTGTCGTGTCATACAATTGTCTCATGTTTCCTTCTCTTGCAGCCTTTTCCGCCGTCGTTGCTAAATCTTCCACATATTTACGTTTGTCGGTTCTGATGCTCCTCTTCACTTGTTTGTTTATTTCCGTGTATTCAGCTTGTGCCTTGGCTTTTTCTGCTCTTGTTCGGCTGGTATTGATTGCTGCCTTCTTGTTCCTTCTTTCTTGAATCTTATCCAGTGTACCAACAGTGATCCATTCCTTGTGGTGGTGCTTCTTGTGACCCAGGACCTCATGACATGTTGAAGTGATTGCCTCTTTGATCCCCTTCCAGTTGCTCTCCACAGTAGTTCCTTCTCCATTGAGTAGATCATGAAAGGCCTGGAACTTGTTGCTGAGGACTATCTTGAATTCGTTGAGTTTGTTAGTATCCTGGAGAAAGGCCGTATTGAACTTTTGTGATACTGTCTGCCCCGTTGTCCAGTGCTTCTTGAGTTTCAATTTCATCTTGGCGACCAGTAAGTGATGGTCTGATGCTATATCAGCTCCTCTCTTGGTTCTCACGTCCTCTATAGTCCTCCTGAACGTTTTGTTGATGCAAATATGGTCGATTTGGTTTTGTGTAGAGTGATCCGGTGAAGTCCATGTGGTTTTGTGTATGCGTTTATGTGGGAATATGGTGCCGCCTATGACCAGCTTATTGAAGGCACATAGATTTGCAAATCTCTCACCATTTTCGTTTCTTTCTCCCAGTCCGTGTCGTCCCATGATGTCTTCATATCCAGTGTTGTCCGTTCCAACCTTGGCGTTGAAATCTCCCATCAGAATGGTCAGGTCCTTTGTTGGGCACTTCTCGACTATTGACTGCAGCCTATTGTAGAATTGATCTTTAGCGTCTTCATTGTAGTCGTTGGTAGGCGCATAGCATTGGATGATGTTCATTGAAATGCCCTCTTTCTTTGTTTTAAACGAGGCTTTGATGATCCGTGGTCCATGAGATTCCCATCCTATAAGTGCATTTTGCGCTTGTTTGGACAGCATCAATGCAACTCCTTGTGTATGTGGTGCATTTTCTTCTTCATGGCCGGAGTATAACAGGAGCTCTCCTGTAGTTAGTCGTTGTTGTCCAACTTGTGTCCAATGTGTTTCACTGATCCCAAGTACCTCTAGGTTGTATCTTCTCATTTCTGCAGCAATCTGGAAGGCTCTTCCGGTGTCCCACATTGTACGAACATTCCATGTACCTAAATAAATGGTCGCTCTGGTTGTCAGAAGGGGCATCGGCCTCGTAACTTCCGAAGGGATTCGGCTTTCATCATGAGGCGTCATAATTCTTCTAAATGAAGATCTTCTGACTCCCAGGGCAGAGTTTAAAAGGTTTGAATAATTTTTTCTGGTTAGCGTTTTTTTAGCGAGTTAGTTTTCTACGGGATAGGGACGCTAACTCCATGCCCAACCCTCCTCCTTTATCCGGGCTTGGGACCGGCAGTAGCCCCCGAAGGGACTCCAGGCGGAGTTGGAGTCTAGAATAACACACTTTGAAATAGATTATTGCTGGTTACAATGGTGTGGAAAAGTAAATACTAGTTTAATGAGCTATTATGTAAAATGAGCCTAAAATCGGTGAAATGGCTCAATGGTATAAGCATTTAGTTTCTTTTCGTAAGTTTTATATATTTACCTATTTCTCTATTGAAATAAAGCGAGAACGACTAGATGTACTGGGTAAAATGAATCAATTATATTTCGAGGCTTTTAATCTGCTGTAAACGGCTTTCAGTTGCAGTTAATAATACTATGTTTATAATGACGTCAATAATACTACAAGCCTTTACCGTCTTAAGTGTCTCAGTACAATTATGTTTATTATTTTACTTAATGTCTCCATATCTCGTTTCCTTTCGTTTGATGAAGTCCTAGGCCCAAATTACCCAAGCTTGATCTTCCTGATGCCTCCAATGATGTTGGAAGCTTCGGATCTCCAAATTTAGATGGAAAACTGGCTGTACTTGCACAGTTGGAAGCGACAACGGAAAAGTATTACGAAAATCCAACTCTCTTCAGTCCTAAAGACCAGGTAACTACTCATAGTAGTTACGTAGCTGAAACCACTAAGCAAACCAATAGTGAGGATACTAAAGTACGACAGCCTAATTCTAACACAACAGCTCGTATTGTGTTCAAACGACGTCCTACGTCTAACCGAAGTATACGTACTCCGCAAGATGACGAGTAAACGTTCCTACTGCAGTTGTGTACATATTATATTTTTATGGATAATATAGTCATTTTTCAGCGAAAAAGATGAATTGTATGTTCTTTTATTGCAACAAAAGTGGGTATCAGTATTTTACCCTAAGTTTAATTAAGACAAAAAGTAGAACCAAAATACCAAAGAAAGGTCCCAGCGATATCGATTCGATCAATCACATTACTAACGAAAAACGTCTTAACGTCTGTTGTAGCTGGATTTTCTCCATTCATTCTTGTATTTATCCATTTAGAAAGTCTTCTGGATCACCTGAATGGGGATTTCAGCTTCTTGCATATTTTTATGTTAAATCGTTTTAACGGTGGGGGAGGGAGATCCAGCAATGATAGTTTATGCAATAAGTAATTTTCTTTCATAAGTTAATTTCCTAACACATGATAACTATCTGTAGTTCAGTACGTTGATATTTAAACTTTAATGCCTGAATGTACATAGTTGATGTACTCCACACTGCTACATGCGTGTGTAAACTCACTACAGCGTATTAGGGAGATTGGTAAATTTGTATCAGTTGCACAGTCGTTTTATAGTAGCAGGCTATATAAGTGTCAGTTTAAACTCATGTGAATAATTAATCCTGGATTTATCACTGCTTATAGCTATAATTAGCTGATTTCGAAAGTTAAATATGAACAAGTGGGTTTTGTACTCAAACTGTGTCATATTTTTCATTAGAACAGCCTTATTATTATATCCAGCTCTAACAGAATAGATGTATCTGGAAGTTTTGTATCGGAACGTGGAATTAATTACCATGTTTGAGGTGAGTGATTTATGGTATGTAGTGTTTGTACTTGACCTTCTATAAACAATGGTCGAACAAACAAAAATTAATTATAAATAAACAATATAATTTAATGTTTTCGCCCCTAAATGCCCTGGTACGGCCGAGAGTGGGAAGAGTCCTCTTTCCCTCTCGAAATGCTCTCACATGGCCACGCGTATATAGCCTCTGCCAGGGAAGTCCTACTCACTGCATTCTTGTGGCGGAGGTGTTGTTTACGAAATTAAGAGAACGAAAAGGTCAGATTTACAACGCATCGGTGAGCGCAGTTTTGCTCTGTTTGTGAAACCTGGCCTCTCCGAGTTGAGGATGCTAGATGACTCTCTGTGCTTGATCATTGTTGTCTCCGAACGATTGCTAACATCCAGTGGAAAAACCATGTTAGTAATGCAGAGGTTCGGCATCGTTTGTTCGGGCGCAGAGATGATAATTCAATTGGTGTCACTATCTTGAAACATCGACTTCGGTGGCTTGGACATGTTCTACGAATGTCGTCCCAGAGAATTCCTCGTCGTGCGGAGAGGTGGTCAGTGTATAACATGGTGTCGTGATATGAAAGAAAGCTGCACAGGACTGGCTTCCGTTGCTCCTTCACGACTCCCTGGTTAGAGTCCTAGAAATAGTGCAACATAGTGGCTTGAGACGTTATCAGATATAGCTCAGAATAGAAGCCAGTGGCGATCCTGCTGTAATCTTTCACTTTCTTCATAAAAAGTGACCGTAACTTCTTTAACTGAAAGGATTCTTTCTGGTTGTACCTTTCTGTTTCCCCCATTATTATTATTATTATTATTATTGTTATTATTATTATTATTATTATTATTATTATTATTATTATTATTACTATTTCACTACCATACACTAATTTTTCCTTTTTACATGCACCCTACATTCTTTTTCTCTTCCCATTCTCATTGTTATTGTGTGACGCATATATATCTGGTGCCACTTTGTATCAACATTTATGTGTTCAAATAAATAATGTTTTCGGGGAGGTAATGAGAAGGGTTTTAAAACTCCAACTTTTGTTTATTCAATATATAATATCAGAATGGGTTTTGTGGAGATTTTTAGAAATTTCACAGGTTGAAATCATGAGTCAGTTGAAGCTAGACCACCATGGAAAACCTGGAAGCACTGGACGGCCGTTTCGTCCTAGTATGGGACTCCTCAGCAGTGCACATCCACGATTCCGCCGTCCAGTGCTTCCAGGTTTTCCATAGTGGTCTAGCTTCAATTGGCTCATGATTTCAATATATAATAGACAGAAATGCAATATTGTATGTGAAATTTTGTTTATTATCAAGTAATAATTAAAGAATATGAGAAAAGGAATTTCACATTGGATCTCAATTGTTATTCTTGTTTCAATGAATTATAGATAGGTAAGTCTAATTGGGTTATATCCAACTAGTTTATATTTATCATTAAGTATATTAATGAAATTGATATATAAAACCTCAGTTTAGTTATATACTTTCAAGATCATGTTGCATGGAAATGAAATCTGGAAAGCTGAAAAATTGTGAATGTAGAGAGAATCAAAAACGACGAACAAGTGATTATCAGATTGTTGAGTTTTAGTTGAGATCATGGACTGAACATTGTTGGACCATTATTGAACACTATGGAAGCACTCGATAGACGTTTTGTGTGGGATCGTGAATGTGCACTGCTGAAGAGTCCCATACTAAGACGAAACGGCCGTCCAATGCTTCCAGGATTTAATGATGGTCTAAGATTGATCAGTTCATGATTTCATTTAGAACGAGAGATTACAAAAAATCCCAGTAAGTAACATCTAATAGTTGGTGATTAATAGATTATAACTTGCAATGTGGCCACTAGTCTAGGTGACTCGACATTGTGTGCACTATGTTGAGATAAGGTGTTGGTTGGAGGTAGTCAACAGGAAACCCTGGACCTAGGTTTCATGCTATTTGGCACTCATCTGTAAGGTGTACTTGTAATCTTGAGGGAATTGGTGCTCCCTGACGGATTCGATCCCATATCACCCAACTTCACAACTAGAGACGTTACCACTGATGCATGCGGGTCGTGATGTACATACTGTAGGACTGAGATATATTGTATTCGAAGTGATAACGATAATTGAAATGAGCACTTAAGTATCATTACCAAGTCTCAAGATTAATTCAGAATTTGGTAGGTTGTTAAGAATAAAATTAACGATATATTATGTTTCTAGTTTTCTAATACTAATATTATCAAAATACCTGGAAACCACCATACCAAGTGAAAAAATAACATTAAAGAAATGATAACATAAACTGCATGCGTCAGAGTAGTAGTTTGCTTTTAAGAAATACAGTAGAATATTTCAAATGTTGATGATGATTGGAAATAAGTCGACCCGTTAAGTACTCCTGAATTCTCATTACTTTAAGAATATGACACTATATCCACCAACCCCGTTAAAGCGTCGGATATTCGCTTTTCGTCTACTCAATTTCGTAAACAATACCCCCGCCACGAAAAGGCGGTGAGTAGGAATTCTCCGGCAGTGGTTGTATGTACGTGGCCATGTGTGAGCACTTCGAGAGGGACAGTTGGCTCTCTCCACTCTCGGCCGTAACAGGGCATTTGGGGGTGGATATAGAGGATTCACCTCGGGAAGTTGCAAGGCCCTCATCCAAAACCTATGGTGCACATGAGCTCCAGGATCCTGAGGGAAAAATCGTTGGTCACCGGCTACCATGAGACCGCATCTCCCGACGTTGCTCCACTGCCTCGCGGATAAGACCTTTAGGTCAACGGCTCGGGGTGTGGCCACCTAAGAAAACCACCTGCTTCAGTCTGGGCATCCGGGTAGTATCCTAGCCCCCCCATAAATCATTCGGTTTATGTGGTGCATATGTATTTGGTGTCTTCTTGTACCAATGTTTATGTGTTTAAATAAATAAACAATATGACAAATCTAAACAAACATTATTATGTAATTGAAGTACCTGAGATATTGTGAAATCAACAATATTGTCATTTCTATTGAAAATCATTACTTTTAATAATAAATTTTTGATTATCTGAATTAAGAATAATTCGTTCATATTCTTGATGACGTCTATATAAATCTTTATATGCCATACATACTCGTTCATATTCGGCAGTTGATACATTTTCTCTGTAATGAAAGTAAAATGAACAATTGTTATTTACTACTTGATAAAGGAAAGGGGATGGTTTGTATTCATTAGTCAATTAAAGCTAGACTACCAGGTCTGTTGTGAGTTAGTAACTCACTGAAGGTAATGATGGATGGTGGTGTAATTCCATGGATTGGCTGAAGTTAAACATTAACACTGTTGGATGCTAGATCAGTGGTCTAGAGTTTAAGCGTTCACGCACGAGAGCGATAGGTCCTGGGTTTGAATCCTGTGAGCGGGATCGTCCCATACTAGGACGAAACAGCCATCCAGTACTTCCAGGTTTTCCATGGTAGTCTAGCTTTAATTGACCCATGAATTCAACTATTAAATGAAATTAATATTAGTATGTTATTCATAAGTCGCTTATTTCTAAAAGTTTTTGTGTCAACTTATAATCTATTAACGATGAATGATCATTTTCGACGCTGCGCAGTTATTGTGCTGATAGGCAAACTGCAGTAGAGACCCCAATTTTTGATGTTTAATCGTTATTGTGTTGTAATTAATCTTGGATAATTCACCAGTATATCATTAAAAGAATGAAGTAATTTCTAAAAAAAAACCACGTCGAAAAGTTAGATGATGGACCAAATAGTTGTCATCCTTATGATGGGATTCAGACGCACTCTGTCATAGTACAGTGATGATCATCTGGTTCCAACTTTGAATACTATTATGACTATAATCAAGTGTGAATTACATTGTCTAAAATCTAATAATACCATTTACTCACAGGCTATTGACTGAAATCTGATCCAAAAAAGAAGCTTCTGTTTCTGTACTCAGTACTATACTTTTATACAGGTTATGCTACTATGAACTCTTTAGATATTCGAAGGGACGATCATATTAACATTCTAAGTACGCAATAATTAGACAAGTTTTATGTGCAGGTTTGTAGAAACAGTATGTAACCATGATATTAGAATTATGAGTATCTAGCTACAGAAGTCTATTGAATTAGAGTTTTTAACATATTGCTTTGAGTAGTCTTAGAAGACCAGTAATATTGCTCAATAAGCTAAAATAATTAACAATAGGTGCATCTGAATGAGAAGATCAATGTGATTAGTAAA